GCTCCAGTGAGGCTTTCAGGTCCAGCCAGGGCTTCCTTGACGGGAGGCCAGCTGTCCTCTCTGTCCTCCCTCCCTCCACTTTTCAACCCAATTGCCCTTCCACATTCAGCCTAGGTTTACACAAAGACCCTAAGCATCTGGGAACAATTTAATTCTCTTAAAATCCACTAATACTTGAAAATACCTTTCCAACCATTTCCTTAAATGGAAAAGAGAGAGAGAGAGAGAGAGAGAGAGAGAGAGAGAGACTCCTTTTAAATACATATTCAGCAACAACAAGCTTGGTGATATCCAAGATTAATCCAGAACTACATGTCTGAACGTTAGTGCTATATAACCAAAATGCCAAATTCTAGACTTCCCACTAACAGGGAAGATAGTTGTATCTGTACATAGGTGAAATTGATTCAAGCACCTTCTGCAGAACAACCTGAAACTAACATGAGGCTGTCTCTAAGTCTCAGGCTCTTCCACAGGGAGGATCATACAATGTACAGAAATGCACAGCCAGTCTCTGTACATTCCATTCTATACATTTCTGTACATTGTGAGTGCCTGCTTCTCAGAGTGAGAAGAGTGCCTGCTTCTCAGAGTGTGGGACACACAGACCCCCATGGGTATGAGGTAGGGCCGGAGGTAGGCAAAGCCATGGGATATCCATGCCACATCCATTAGCAATGCCAATTTGACTTCATAAGATGGACAACAAAGCACTAAACAAATTTATGCTATCTTCCTGGACATGTGTATGAGATTGGGTTATCAAACTAGCCTGTCACCAAAATAGAAAAACACACATTTCTTAGGCTGATACGTGGTATCAGCCCTATTCAAATAGGGAGAATCTTCAAAATTGAATCCACAGAAGCATATCACCTGACAACTAGCAAGATAATAGAAAACCTGGTTTTGCTTTGCTTTGTTCTTCTGGAGGTAACTTGAAATAGTATTTTGATGGTGAAATACAATATAACATGGTACACAAAGATACTCAGAGTGTTACAATGAAACACAATCTCAAAATTTTAACTTGTAGCAGATCACTCTGGGCTGTGCAGTAGGAGGTATGAAAGAATTCACTCTCCTCAGCCATTGAAATATTTTAGCAGAGAAAGAATTCAACACTGGGAAAGAAAGACAGCCAGGTTGAAGTTTCAACCTCAGGAGAACAGAACGAGATCCCAAAACCATCTCCACACTGAAGAGAGATATAATCATGCAGGTCGCTGCACCAGAAATGACCATCACAAAACAACAGGGAATCTAACACCCACTGGGCACCAGAACGGGCATGCTCTGGCACTTGAATCAAGGATCTCATTTAACCCTCATGGCAGTTCTTCGAGGCAGGTACAACTGTTGTCATCCCCATTCTACAGACGAACAAACTGAGGTTAGGTATGAAATTAGTAAGGAGCAGAGCTGGGGTGTGAATTCAGAGACCTGTCCCTGAAATTCATCGCCACCACAGCTTCTGGCAGTGTCCACCGAAGTCTGGCCACCCAGCCTCCCCCAGACCGCTGCTGACTGTCACCATCAAAGACAACACCTGCCCTTCCCAGGAAGTACAGCCCCTGGCCTGGCAGGACTTCCTCCGAGACCTGTCCAGGTCCACGGACACGGCTTCCTCATGGTGGATGGGTTCACAAGCACGAAGTTCAGAGCCTCCGCCTCAAGAGAAAGAAGCATTCCCAACCTGGCAGGCTGGATGAGAGAGTCCAGTCTGAATTTTTTCCAAAAACTCTCAACCAATGTTAGGAAGCCTTTTCCCCAAGAACCCAAAGTACAGGGAAGGGCAATTTTTTACAACCCCATTTCCTTCAAAGACTAAGGAAAAGCAGCTTCTGGAGGCAAATGATCCAAATAGAATGTGAGCCAGGTATTCAAAAGCCACATATGACGTTTTTTAAATTTTGGGAGCCACATTAGAAAAACAGAAAAAAAGAAATAAGTGAAGTTAATTTTAGCCCAATAGATATTTTAGCCCAATAGATCCAAAATATTATTGTTTTGCGTATAATTAACATATTCAAAATTACTAGTGATGTATTTTCTTTTTTTCATCCTAATTTTCAACATTGGGTATGTATTTTACACTTACAGCACATCTCCATCCACACGTAGCCAGGAGCTGCTATACTAGACCGAGCAGCTCTAGAGAGTACAAAAGTCTCAGCAGGAACAAAGTGAATTGGACACCATCAGAACCTAAATTTCCACTGCTGTTAACACCATAATCAGTCACGCAACTTCAGCCATGAAGATCTGTTTCTAGGCTGGGTATGGTGGCTCACGCCTGTAATCACAGCACTTTGGGAGGTGGAGGCAGAAAGATTGCTTGAGCCCAGAGTTCAAGACTAGGCTGAGCACCACGGTGAAACTCCATCTCTACAAAAAATTAAAAATAAGCTGAGCATGGTGGCACACACCTGTAGTCCCAGCTACTAGGGAGGCTGAAGTGGGAGGATCCTGGGGTGGTCGAGGCTGCATTGAGCAGAGATTGTGCCACTGTACTCCAACCTGTGTGACAGAGTGAGACCCTGTCTCAAAATAAATAAATACGTGAATAAATAAATAATTTTTTTTAAGGATTTGTTTTTAAAGAGTTTTGACAGCACTAAAAACATTAAAGAGTGTTTTGGTGGCACTGAAAATCTGCTAAAATGAAAATATAGGCCGGGCACGGTGGCTCAAGCCTGTAATCCCAGCACTTTGGGAGGCCGAGACAGGCGGATCACAAAAGTCAGGAGATCGAGACCATCCTGACTAACACGGTGAAACCCCGTCTCTACTAAAAAATACAAAAAACTAGCCGGGCGAGGTGGCGGGTGCCTGTAGTCCCAGCTACACGGGAGGCTGAGGCAGGAGAATGGCGTGAACCCGGGAGCCGGAGCTTGCAGTGAGCGGGGATGCGGCCACTGCACTCCAGCCCGGGCGACAGAGCGAGACTCCGTCTCAAAAAAAAAAAAAAGAAAAGAAAATATACTAAAATACGAAATAATAATTGGTAGGTATTCTGGTTGTGAATTTTTCTCTATCTACTTTTCGTTTTTTTTTGAGACTGAGTGTCACTCTGTCGCCCAGGCTGGAGTGCAGTGGCGCGATCTGGGCTCACTGCAAGCCCCGCCTCCCGGGTTCACGCCATTCTCCTGCATCAGCCTCCCGAGTAGCTGGGACTACAGGTGCCTGCCACCACACTCAGCTAATTTTTTGTATTTTTTAGTAGAGATGGGGTTTCACCGTGTTAGCCAGGATAGTCTCAATCTCCTGACCTCGTGATTCGCCCACCTCGGCCTCCCAAAGTGCTGGGATTACAGGCGTGAGCCACCTTGCCCAGCCCTTCTCTATCTACTTTTCTATACCTCACAAGTATTCTGGAAAAAAAATGATAATTTATAATACTACTTTATAAATTTTAATTGTACAATTTAAAGTAATTAAAACAATGAGTACAATATTTATTGTACTGCTATATGTCTGGCCCTGCGTTCTCCAAGAAGGTGCTAACATGTCTAAGGACTCTGAAAAAGAAGGCCCTGATATGGTCATTTTTGGGGTGGGGAAGACTTTTCCAAGCTAGACAGATATTTCTCCTGCCCCTGAACTGGGAATATAAAAAATACATAACAGCAAAGGCTGCAGGAAATTGTACCCTAAGTCAGTAGCAGAAAAGGGTGTCAAATGCAGATTAAACTGGCATCTGTTTGGCCAGCACATGCCCATATCCACACTGGCCCGGAGCTATGAGAGTCACTACTGACAGGCAGCAGAGGCAGCTGGGTGTCAGTGGAAGTGTTCAGACTCGAAAAACAGGTGATCGTGCATTCTTTCCGAATGTGCAAAATATGAATCAGATCATTTATAAAATGCCTGCAGCTGTTTGGTAGGGTACACAGGTACTAATTTAAAGTCTGATTCCACCCTACTCATACACACAAGTGTATATGTGTGTGGATGTGTGTGCACACACAGCACCAGAACAGCCAAAGGCCTAGGGAGGCGGCAAGCTTGTTCACTGTGTGTCTGTGTACGTGCACAATATCTCCAGCTCCCCAAAAGGATGAAACTTTGAGCAGCAGTTTCTGCACAACACTAGGTGGCATTTCCCGTAGAAAAGAACAGGCAGGCACACTGCAAGTGCGAAGGTCACTTGTTCATGGTTACATTTACACTCCTTGCATCTCGAGATCTCCTGGAGTGTGACTGCTATTGGTGAGCCATTCCTGCTTCGCAGACAAAAGCATCAAGACATAATGACCTAGATGAGCAGGTGCCTAGAAATGATGCAGCGGGTGTGGGGCTGGGGTATGATATCTAGGGGCTGTAGGGTTTCTTTCTGTGGGGATGAAAATAACCTGAAATTGATTGTAGCCACGGTTACACACTGTGAATATACTACGAGCCATTGAATTGTATGAGTGAATTATATGGTATTTGAATTGCATCTCAATAAAGATTCTTTTCTTTTTTGAGACAGGGTCTCTGTCACCCAGGGTGGAGTGCAGTGGCACAAACACGGGTCACTGCACCTTCACCTTCTGTGCTCAAATGATCAATTCTCCCAACTCAGCCTCCCAAGTAACTGGGACTATAGGCACATGCCACTGTGCCCGGCTAATCTTTGTATTTTTTCTAGAGATGGGGTTTCACCAAATTGCCCAGGTTGGTCTCAAACTCCTGGGCTCAAGTGATCTTCCTGCCTTGGCCTCCCAAAGTGTTGGGATTACAGGCATGAGCCACCGTGCCCAGACTGACTTTTTAAATTTAAGGCAATCAATTAAATTCAAGTATGAAAGCAACTCATTCAATCCCTTTTCCAACAACGGAGCTTTTAGTCATCCCAGGTACTGCTGTACCTGTACATAAAATGGGAATGGCCATTTGCTTCTTTCTTATGTAAGAACTCGTGCTGTATGACTACTCTCCTTTACAAAACATCCAGTGTGTCTATATCTAAGGAAGCCACCATGGCCTTCCAAAGACCAATATCTTTCACTGACCTTTCTGTTCCTTCTGCACCTCTGGTCTCATCTGAAGTAACTTTATCCATGACTCTTGGAGCATCCTTCTTAGGAACCGAAAGTAAGATGCATGGGCCAGGCCTGGGGCTCTCTCTGGGATAATGAAAGAAAGCAATTGATAGGATATTGTAGATAGCAGGGCATTTCTCCCCATGTCCTACTGAAAAAGCAGATTTCCCAATTAAAGTTTTAAGTGGCTACTACAAAAAAAATCCCTAGGATAAAGGACCCCCTGCCTAAATAAATCCAGATTCAAAAGCAGATGTATCTGGACTCCAGAAAAACATATGACTGACTATAACCTATCACCTAATAGTGCACAGCCAGTCAGTAAACAGTTGATACTTTTCCAGTGGTTTAAGTTAGACGAATTAAGGACCACAAGAAAAGGAACACAGTCAACAACTCCCAGCCTCCAACCATGGTTCTCACATTTTTCAGAGCCTCAGGACATCCAGAGGGGGTAAGCAGGTTCATTTAGCAATAGATATGGAAAACTCAGCTTTTAGAAAACAACTCGCCTATGCGACTGACTTCTAAACATCAGGCTGGGAATCACCTTTGAAACTGACCACACATTCCCATGGGAATTTTTCCATTTAAGTACCTGTCAGCGTGGAGCTCTTCTGGAGCCAAATGTTGCAGCTTTGGGTCACGAGTTTCATCAGGTTCTGGAGGTGAGGAGACGTGCACCTTCCCGTCCCCAGCTGGAACGGGGCACTCAGGCCCTGGCTGCTCCTCAGCCTGCTGGGGCCTGGCTGGGTTGTCCCCATGAAGGGCAGCTGTACCCTCCATCCCCTGAGCCTTGTCAGAGCAGGCTGCGTCCTGACAGCTTCCTGGCAGTGCCAAGTCATCAGCCACAATGGAGAACGCCCTCGTAGTACCTGCTTCAGGCAGGTCCCCGGACGCACATGCCTGTGTCTCAGCTGTGCTCAGGGTGATGTCACCCTCTGCTTCCCGAGCAGCGCCTGCCACCTTGCCAGGCTCCAGGGGAGTGTCTGCCACTTCTCCAGTTGGTGGTGCAGGGATGCTCTGGTTGCTCAGGGCATTTTGCATTTCCAAAATGCCAGCAGTGACTCCGGGCCTCCTTTCACCCCCAAGCGTGTCAAGGGTCCTGGGCTCACTGTTGGCCTCAGGCACAGTCGAAACCTCCCCCTGGGGAGAAGGGGCTTCCAGGGCACAGGTGGACCTTGGCACATGTCCTGGAACCCCTGTGTGAGCAAAGTCCCCGGGACCACCTTCTCCGTGTGGACTGTCGCAGGCAGATGTTTCCTGGTGCTGCTTTCCAGAAGGAATTCTGTCTTGGGCCACGGCCTCTTCTCCATGGCTATGGGGAGCCACCTGGAAGGCAGCGGCTCTCTCCACAGGGAGCTCCTGAGTAGCTGCTGGTGAAGGAAGACCTGAAGCTAATTCCTGCCTGCTCCTCTCCGGCTGTGAGTGAGCCTGGCCTTCCAGGCCTGGCCAGGCTGCCCCAGGTCCCTCTGGCTTCTCATCTTCCCTCAGTGTGGGTGGGACACCTGCCATCTCCTTCCCCACACCGGCACCTGGCAAGTTCTGCTCCCAGGTCAGCCCTGCTGGACCCGGAACCTTGTCTGAAGCTGGATCCTGCAGAGCCTGATGGGAAATCTCAGCCTCTCCAGCCAACTCTTGCTTCTTCTCCACCTGGAGTCGAGCAGGAGGTACAGGGAGAGGGGTGACATCCACTCCTGGAGGCCCATCTAGAAGCTTCTCTGGGCCCAATGGCCTGGTGAGGTCTTTACCCACTGCATTCATCCCAGCTCCTACCTTTTCTCCAGGTTTGGTCACAGCTCCGAGTACAGGCTTCTCGAAGATCTTGGCAATGTGCTCCCTGAAGTCTGGGAAGCCAACGAGGGTGGCGATTTGCTCGGAGCTTGTGTCCACACCACCTGATGTGCCCTGCCTTGGGTCCTGGGAAGGCTCTCCCATCCTCTCCATGCTGCCCTCTGTCTCTCCTGCTGCATCACCTGCCAAGCTCTCCTCGCTGGCCTTGGCACCTGCACCCAGAGCTGTTGCTTCTTTCTCTTCCCCTGTTGCCTGCTTGCCCTTGGCCGGAAGTGGCATCCGGTCCAGGCATGGCATGGAGTCCACAGGTCCCTCAGTGGTTCTGGCTTTGGGGCTGCCACTGCTGGCTTGCACTGCAGAGATTTCCCCACCTTCAGCTCCTGGTTGCAAGAGGGGGGCGAGGGAGCCAGCAGACAGCTTCAAGGAGACAGCATTTTCCAAGGCAAGCGGGGGCTCCCCTACAGGACAGGGGCTTTCACCAGGAGCTCTGGGGCCTGCAGAGGAAACAGCTTTCACTCCACTGTCTTCTGCTCCTTTCTGGGCAGCACTGTCGATATGCAGGTAAGGGGTGTCCGGAGCAGCCACTTCTGGTGGCCCAGACAGCAGGAACTCCTTTGGGTCTGGGACAGCCTGGTGTGTAGAAATATCCATGGTGCTCCTGGGAATCTCATCCAGCTCTCTGGCTAGCAGCAAGGCATCCTGGCAGCTGGCCGTGGGCTGCTTAGCTTGGCAGGGCTCACGTAGGGCAGAGGTAGAAGTTTCCTCCCCGGAGGTAAGGTAGTGCTCAGTCTGAAGGAAGCCATCTCTCAAAGTAGCTTCTCCGGGTTTCTCTGGAGCCTGCTGCTTTCCTGAGTCTCCTGCATTGGTGCTGCCACCAGTCTCAGCAGTCCCCACTTCACCACCTTGCTCCCCAGCTGATGGGAAACTTGCAAGCAGCTCTGGGGCCTCTGCATCCCAAGTGATCGGGCACTCCATTTTCTGCTGCGGGGCCGGCACTGGTTGCTGCCTGTCTTCCTGGGTTTCATCACATCCCTCTGTCTCTGGGGCATCCTGGGTGGGTGTGACTCCGGGACTGGCAGGCACCAGGGCTGGCAGGCAGGGAACTGCATCCAGGAGAGCTACTGAGTCAGGCTGACAAGATGGGGCCTCCCCTGTGTTTCCACTTGCCACCTCCCTCTTACTCAAGCCCCAGAGTGAGGAACAACCATCAGCTGCTTCAGAAGCTCCTGCATCCCTTTGACATGCTTCTTCTTGCTGGCGGCCTTCTTCTAAGGCATCAGTCAATGCCTGTTGAGACTTATTTGGCCCCTGCCCAGTGCAGCAAGTTTCCTTTCTGCTCAAGTTCCCTGCAAGAGAAAAGTCTTTTAAGACATCTGCTGCTGGAGGTGAGACCCTTGAGGACTGACCATCACCACATGCTCCCTCTGGCCGCTTCTCCCCTAGTACAGGCAACTTCTGTCTCATTGGTGCTGACAGTTCTGAATCTTCTGTTGGAGAACTCTCCCAAAGCGTGTCAGTGGGGGATGAAGTTGGAGTATCAGACAGGGTGCCTTTGGGGAGTCCACTTTGAAGTTCCGATCCCAAAGCCTGCTCCTGTCCTCCATGAGTGGGCAAGTTCATATCTTCCTGAGGTTCCACAGGTACATGGATTTGGGAAGAATCTGCTCCCTGGTCCTTAAAACCTGGATGGCTTGGAGAAGTCTCCTTCCCATTTTCAGGTGGCTGGGCCTGCTCCTTGAGCACGTCAGAGATTGATGCCTCTGGGTCTGCCTGGGATGGCTGGAGATGCTTCTCAGAAGATAGTAGGGGCCATTCGGATGCAGCTCCTCTTATCCAGCCTTCCCTATGACAGGACGGGATTCCCTGCTGATCTTGGTCCAGGATGAGCGCCGTGAGTCCCAAGTCTGCTACCAAGTTCTCCCCCTTGGGGGGATGTGGCACCCCAGCATGAAATTCCTGTTTCGATGCATCACACCCCGGCCCATGGGGTTGATCTGGGGATGTCAGCAAGCCCTCCCCATCACAGCTGCCCATCTTCCTTATTTCCAATGTGCTCTCACCTTCCTGGGCTTTGGGTGCAACCTCTGCAACAGGAGTTGGCAGAAAATCTGATTTTTCTGGTTCTAAAGTCAGGAAAGGCTCCATTCTTCCCAATCCTTCCCTGTTCTGAAGGGTGGCAGGACATTTGGGCTGTAATCCTGACCCCTCCCAGATGGCTCCTTCGGGAACAGTGGGCTCACCAGCTCCATCTGGCACAGGGGGCAGAACAGGGTCCTCCTCACCCAGCTTGTGTGGTAGGCCAGATGCATCGGCCTCTGCTGTCTGGGAGTGGGGCCCATCCGTGTGCCCAGCACCCCCCTTTCTGGGTGTCTGTGCTGAGTGTGAGCTGGGATGGTCTCTGCTCTCTGCATCACTGCTTGGCTTTGAAAGCTCATCTTTGCCTACTTCCAGATCACACTTGCTGCTGAAAGCCTCAGAGTCCTCTCCTTGCAGGTTCCCTGGGTCTCCACCGTCAGGCGGCTCTGGGGCTTCCTCCTTTCCTCCAGGGCTGTCACCAGGTGATCTGCTTCCTTCTTTAGCCACGGCTGGGCTTGTGGCATCTTCATGGGCCTTGGCTCCATCCCTTGGCCCCAGTGGCCCTCTGGCACTTTCACTTGGTGCATTGGGAAGAGGAGGGGGTGGTACTCCTTGTTGGACTGCATGGCTTTGCTCCATGTTCGAGTGTTCTCCCCTTTCCTGGGGTGATGGGGCAGGAACCTCTCCAGGGCTCCCTTCTGGATGCTCTCCCTTGCTTCCAAGATCTGATGCTTGCCTCTCCAGTCCCACCAACCCTGCATCCACCACCTCTTTGGCTGCATCTGCAGAAACTGGCAGCCCGGCCTTGGAAACTGATTCCCTGGACAGTGATCCAGGTCCTTCTATGGCAATAGGAATCTGAGCAGCTGGGAGTGAAGCGAGGCTTGAAGCTGGATGTGCTTCCTCAGTCAGAGTGAGCAGGGAGGGTTCAGGGCTCACAAGCAAACCCCCTTCAGGTCGGCCACCTGCTGCCACACAGACAACTTGACCGGGCTCGGTTCCTTGCATCCCTATCTGTGGGTGACCCTGAACATCACTGGTGTCCAAAGCCTCTTTCCCAGAGCCCCCAGCCCCTGGCACCAGGGCAGGACTTGGCGAGCCCCGGGGCAACTCTGTGTGTGGCAGATGTGCTCCCACTGGCTGCTGGCAGCTCTCCTGGGAAGTGGCATTCACTTCTGCTTCTGGGACAGCCCCTGAATTGCTCCTAGGGAGATGGCAGGCCCTGAGGAATTCCAAGTCATCTGTTAAATACTGAGGTGGCACCTCCCCTTGGCCTGTTACTCTGTCTGAGGCTGTTGGGGCTGGATCTTGTGGGATCAGGGCCTCGGGTTTTAGCGGGGACTTCTCCAAGACAGTTGAGCTTTCTGTGCCCAGCTGGGCTGCAGCAGGGGCCTCAGGGGCCACTTGCACAGAAGCCACCCCCTGCCTGGACTCTGCAGGGGGGAAGCCACCTGCAACCTCTTTCCCCTGGGACTCTAAACCACCAGGCTGGTCCCCCTCTCCACACAGGTCCCCCTCTCCACACAGCAGTGCCTTCACTGGCTCTGTGAGGGATACTGGTGACATTCCAGGTGACTGGTCAGTGCCACTGGAGAAGGAGAAGGAGGATTTCTGTCTCTCTTCCTTCGGTTCTCTCTCTCTTCCAGCACTGGGGATGGCAGCAACCTCTTGGTCTTGAGTAGAGCTGTCCCTCTCAGCGGGAAATGCTGCTGTGACCTCCCCCGGGGCATTTGGGGCAGGTTCCCTCCTGGGGGACTGAGTCTGAGGACCATCTTCAGGTGTCGCCGCTGGACTTGCCAAGCAACCTTCTGGGGGACACTCGGCAAAGGGCATGGAGGACGAGGGGTGCTCTCGCTCCTGGGGTGGTGGTGGGCTGGACAGTAAAGAACCTTCTGGCCCCCTGGCTCTCTGTGGGTCCTTCCTTGGTTCAGTCACCTCTGGGGACACAAGGCATGGATCCAGGCTGGCAGAACTCTCAGAAGCAGTGCAGAAGCCTCCAAGCCCAATGCTGCCAACCCTGAAAACATTTAATGTTTCATTGGTTATCATGGATGCCAAGGACAGAGCCACACTGCAGGCAGGTCACCCCCCACCATCCCCACAAAAGGCCACCAAGTGCCCAGACCACAGACACAGCATCTTCATGCAGCTCATTCCTCTCTGTGAGAGCCCCCTGTACCCCTCCCACAACCATTATGCATGCCCCTGTTTCCCCCAAAAACCACTGCAGGGCATCTCAGACACAGTGTGGACCTTCCATGCTGGTCAGCAGTGAATACAGAAACGTGGCAACTCATTTATAATAGTCTAAAATGCGGGAAACCCAAAAAGGTTTTGTTTGTTTGTTTGTTGAAGTCAGGGTCTTGCTCTGTCACCCAGGCTGAGGTACGGCAGCACAACGACAGCTCACTGCAGCTTCAGCCTCCTCGGCTCAAGCAATCCTTCCACCTCAACCTCCCAAGTAGCTGGGACCACAGGTGTGCACCACTACGCCCAGCTAATTTTTAAATTTTTGTAGAGATTCGTTCTCGCTATGTTGCCCAGGCTGGTCTCAAACTCAAGCAATCTTCCCACCTCAGCCTTCCAAAGTGCGGGGATGATGGTCGTGAGCCACCGTGCTGACAACCCAGAAAGTTGTTAATAAGAGTAAATCATAATAGGGATTTGAACCCGTCCTGCAAAGATTATAGGCCGGTCCCCAGCACCCCTGGGGATCCTTAGATGTTCAGGAAAAAGCACAAGTCAGCAAAGCCAGGCTTTGAAATAAAGAGCGATTCCTGGTAATAGTTAACTTGATTCTTCACATTTAACAGGTGGGACAGTGACAGGCATAACCCAAAAATCATTTCTATTTGGCTATGGAATTTCTGCACATGACCTATGTATAACTCTTGGGAGCTGAATCACCTTCATACCCACGTTTGTCTTAACTTGAACACATTTATCTGGGTAATGTGTGGGGAAAAAAATGAAACTCAGGGAACTTGGGGGAACTTGACTCCAAATTTTGGACTTGCTACACAGAATTAACTATCCAGTTATTATAAAACGGCTTATTACTGCTGTATTTGGATTCTATTTGGACTATGTTGCTCAATTCTACACAGTTTTAATGCTGTGCTTTTTTTTTTTTTTTTTTTTTTTTCCCCCCGAGACAAGTCTCACTCTGTCGCCCAGGCTGGAGTGCAGTGGCGCAATCTTGGCTCACTGCAAGCTCCGCCTCCCGGGTTCACGCCATTCTCCTGCCTCAGCCTCCCGAGTAGCTGGGACTACAGACACTAGCCACCATGCCCAGCCAATTTTTTTTTTTTTTTTGTAGTTTTAGTAGAGATGGGGTTTCACCGTGTTAGCCAGGATGGTCTGGATCTCCTGACTTTGTGATCTGCCCGCCTTGGCCTCCCAAAGTGCTGGGATTACAGGCATGAGCCACCACACCCGGCCAATGCTGTGCATTTTTTAATTTTAAAAATAATATGTGGCCAACACAAAGTTTGGAAAATGTAGAAAAAAAAATAAGAAAAAATACTGCTACATGCTTGCCACTTTCAGAGTTCTAGTGAATTTCCTGATTTTTCCTACACAATTGTTTGGGGATATAATTCTTGTTATTTTTACATAATTGTGATTCTATATACTTGTTATGATTATATATATTCTAGTAACAAGAGAAATTCCTCAAGACAAAGTTAACAGAAGTATGGTTTTTCTAAAGCTTTTACCATTTTCTTTAAAGTTATTATAGGGGAAATATCAAAGGGAAATTTAGGGAATCTTTTTGTAACTGTTTGTTACATGCACACATATTCGCACACACATAAGCCCACAGTGTTCTGGATGGGGCTAGTGGAAAGAGTCTCCTCTCAATGTCCACTACCAAAATTCCAGTTTTCCACAGCAGGCAATGCACATGCATCCATACAGGAGGGATGCATACGGTGAGGTGGTGAGATGCATTCTTGTTAAATTTTTAAAATATGTGCTATGAACTGAATTGTGCCCCCATTCAAATCCATATGTTGAAGCCCTAACCCCCAATGTGACTGTATTTGGAGATAGGCACTTTAAGGAGGCAATTGGGGTTAAGTGAAGTTATAGTAGTGAGACCCTAATCTGATAGCACTGGTGTCCTTTATTAGAAGAGGAAGAGGCCAAGTGCGTGGCTCACACCTGTAATCCCAATGCTTTGGGAGGCTGAGGCAGGCAAACTGCTTAAGCTCAGGAGTTCAAGACCAGCCTGGGCAACATGGTGAAACCCCATCTCTAAAAAGAAATATAAAAATTAACTGGGCATGGTGGTGCACAGCTGTAGTTCCAGCTACTCAGGAGGCTGAGGTGGGAGGATCACTTGAATGCCGGAGGTTGAGGCTGCAGTGAGCTGAGAACATGTTGCTGCACTCCAGCCTGGGCAACAGAGTGAGATTCTGTCTCAAAACAAACAAACAAACAAACAAACAAACAAAAAAGCAAAGGAAGAGACACCAGGAATACACACACATAAAGGAAAAGCTACGTGAGAACACCAAGAGCAGGTGTCTTCTGCAAGCGAGGAAGAAAAGTCTTACCAGAAACCAACTCCACCAGCACCCTGACCAGGACTTCCAGCCTCCAGAACCAGGAGAAAATACATTTCTGTTGTTTAAGTCACTCAGGCTGTGGTGTTCTCTTATGACAGCCCGAGCAGACTAATACCATAGACAGGTGGGTATTTACTGTCCCATCCTTTCAACATTTTTGAGGTTTCGATTTTTCCAAAATAAAAAGTTGGGAAAATAATAACGGATGAAATTCACTAGGCCTCAGTGCTCATTTAGCCCTGCCAACAGCTGTGCAAGGTGGGTACCACCCTCGCCACTTGCAGATGAGAACCCTGGAGAACAGAGGCTAAGCATGGATCTCAACGTGGACTGATTCCACTGGCCACAATCTGATTCCACTGGCCACAATCTTCTTACTCACTCTGCTATGCAGAATAAATGAAAACTTCCAAGGAAGGCAAGAGCCTCTTCCCCCAGCCCCATTCCAGCCTCTCTGTCCTGCCCCTCACCTCTGAAGTACATGCGCTATCATTTGACATCCCTGAAGGAGGTGTGTACACAGCACCACCCCTGCCCTCATCTTTATCTAATGGCTATTCCTGCACATGGGACATGGGGATGGTGCCTGAGGACCCAAAAGAGAGCTGGCTACTGTCTCAACCAGATTTGCATTTTCTGACCCAAAAGAGGCTGACTAGTTCAAAGAAGAGAAAACTCAGAGGGTAAATGATATAAAACCCTCCAATTCACAAATGGTCACGGAGGACACACGTGCCCATGGAGGGCCCTGGCCCGAGTGGGCTGACATCTGGAAAACTACTTGGGGTTTGGGTAAAGTGTCTTGGCCTGGCTTTCTGGAAAGCACCAGGTCCAGAACGAAACCCGATGTCTCCCCAACCAACGACTTTGCCTCCTCTCCCGCCCCCCCTTGCTCCTCCTCCTCCCCCTCCCTTTGCTGCTCAGCATCTGAACCTGGCAATTTTCCTTGTAACAAGCACTTTACATTTCATTATGTCCCACCCATTAACTGAAGTCAAACAGTTTAGTATGTGATAAGATTAATGGTGTGTAATTCAGAAATGAAGTGCTCCTATTTATATCGGCTTTATCAAGCGGGAAATAAACGAAGCCACTTTCTTGTCCATGCCTCTGACAGGAACTGCCTACTTAAAAGAGTATGTGGCTTCCCTTCAGGCTGGCTGAAGTCATTACCATCTGGGACAAGATGATAAATTCTATTTTGGCATCTTGCAAACTTGTGCGGTCTTATCAGGGAGCAACCAGGAACTAATTTTCCATGGAGTACGGGATACACAACAACTCCTCCCAAATAAGAACCCAGACATTGGTTTATGTAGCATAAGCTGGGCACTAGCAATCGCTTTGATTACCCATCAGAAGTAATTTTCAAAGCCAGATTAAAGCTGCTCACCAGGAGCAGATTTGCCTAAGGGCAGGAAAAATTCTAAGAACTGATCTGTTGAGGGCTCTGCGTTAATTGAAGCTTACATAACATCCTTTTATGCTTCAAGATTGAGTTGAAATGTGTGGATAGAGGCTCTGCTCAGAATCCACAGGCCAGCATCCTGGGGACTGGGCAGCCAGCACCCTGAATGAAGCCTTTCACCCTGCAGGGGCACTGCCTCTGTGTGGAAGTCAGGGAGGGCCCAGGGACTACAGCCTCCGTCGCAGACCAGATGTTCACAGTACAGTGAAGGGAGAGGCATGGCAGCGGCTGGCAGGGAGTCATCTGCCACAACCAAGGTCTGAGCAGATGATGGGGACGCAGATGGGTTCTTAAATGCATAGTTCTGGAAACACACACGCGTGCAATGCTTAAGGGGAGGAAGGAGGCCAGCTGCAGAAAACACAAACATGGCCCTTGCACGACCAGGCTTTCAGGAACTGGCAAAACCATAAAGATGGAGAGTTCCCATGTATTAAACACTGACTCAGGCCAGACCCTGCCAGGGCCTTTTTTTTTTTTTTTGGAGACCAAGTCTTGCTCTGTCACCCAGGCTGGAGTGCAGTGGCACAATCTCAGCTCACTGCAACCTCCACCTCCTGAGTTCAAACAATTCTCCTGCCTCAGTCTCCCAAGTAGCTGGGACTACAGGCATGCACCACCATGCCCGGCAAACTTTTGTAGATGGAGTTTCACCATATTGGCCAGGCTGGTCTGTAACTCCTGACCTCAGGTGATCTGCCCACCTCGGCCTCCCAAAGTGTTAGGATTATAGGCATGAGCCACTGCGCCTGGCCTGGGCACTTTTCAGTTACTATTGCATTTAATCCACACAACAGCCTGGTAGAGGGGTGGCCCCATTGCATACACGAGGACATTTTCCCGAAGAAGTTCAAGACAGGACCCAAGGTCAAAGAGCCATTGATGCAAAGCAAGATCGAGCCCTGTGGCGCTGCCTCCTGTTGCCCTGTACTGGCTACCTGCACCAGCCTCTCACCCGAACAGGTGCAGCAGCCC